TTGTATAACATTATATTCTTGTTAATATAATTTCTTCATTATTTTATAATACTAATACATAACACTAAACATCCAAGTAAATAATCGAACGACTGCCGGAACGTATATTATCTATTATCTAAATACTAACCATAGATTACATATTTCGTTATTTTGTTTTTTTACTAAGTCGTAATGGGGCGGCAAAAAAAATTTGTCTAGGGGCGGCAATTGTGTAAATCCGTCTCTGCTATTAATAATCACAAGACGTAGGCATAAAAAATAGGTAAGTAGCTAAGCTATCTACGTGATAATACTAGCATTGATTATAGAATAGATATATAGATAATAGATATATAGAATATTCTATAATCAATGATACTAGACGTAACTAATAGGTATCCACTTCAATAGATAATAAAATATTATATTGACCAGTTTACTACAGAACGATTTTAGTACTGAACAAAGTTTAAYAAGTAATCAACAGTGTTTATAACTTATAAGCATAAGACATAACCTCCTACAGGCTACAATCATACAGTGCACTACAGGTACAACTATAGTCTATAGGCATTAGGCTATAGTCTATATTCTATATGATTACAGGCTAAAATATCCATAAAGATAATAAGTAGGTATATTATTTTATTAATATAATATAGATATAATATTAATAACATTTGTTCACCAAGTATGCATGCTGAGAATAACTATTCAATATAATTATTAATATAAATGATAATTTAATAATTTATAAAATCTATTATTCTCAGATTATCAAAATCAAGGCTGAATAGTGAATATTTTTGAACATAAACATAAACATAACCTAAAACATTTACTGATAAATAGAATACAGAAACCACGGACRTGACAGAAACCAAAGCTAAAAAAAATAAAAATAAAACGTAATTACCTACTTATATTCTATATTTCTATTATCAATGTTGAATATTATTATCATAAAGTCGAACAAGACGTATTCTGTGTGATTGTATTAGTATAATTTATTATTGTTTTGAATTGAGGTAATAAACTATTAATTAATAGTTAACAGTTGGTGAATTAATAAAACATTACAGTTTAAWCTGTTATAAGATTTTCAATGAAGTGATCCCTTACTAATAAAAATGCCGTCGAAACAGAGAAAAATTGCTATTATGGGCTATCGATCAGTCGGTATGTAGACAAAACATAATACAACTTATATACTGAATACCAAATGAAATAAAACTATTTTTAAATTGACTATTTTTTTTTAGGTAAATCGTCATTGAGTATACAGTTTGTTGAGGGACAGTTTGTCGACTCCTATGATCCAACAATTGAAAACAGTAAGTGTATATTATATTGTATATATTCTAAAATTCTAAAATGAATTAGTGATATGATGTAAATAATGATTTGAAAATATAATGCTTTGAATTGTATCAATTAGTAAATAATTGTATACTATTTAATTGATTTCCATAGCTTTTATGAAAACAACCAAAGTTAACAATCAAGAATATGACCTGAAATTAGTCGATACAGCTGGACAAGACGAGTACTCAATATTACCTACACAATATTCAATGGACATTCATGGATATGTTTTAGTCTATAGTATTACATCACCAAAATCTTTTGAAATCATTCAGATAATTTATGATAAATTATTAGATATGACTGGTAAAGTACAGTAAGTTGTTTTATAGCTAGGAGCTAGCTATCATTTATGAATAATCATTAAAACTTTGGGTTTATTATTTATCTTTTTTTTCCCATAGTGTTCCTGTAGTATTGGTAGGCAATAAAAAAGACTTGCATATGAACCGTGTTGTTACACAAGAGGAAGGACGGAAATTAGCAGATTCTTGGAAAGCCGTATTTCTTGAAGCTTCAGCCAAGCAGAATGAGGTAACATCAAAAAAAGTTAGTAGTTAATTTCCTTTATTCTTTTATTAATTTATTTATCTACTATTTTCCATTAAATTTCTCCCTCATTCAATATTTTAAGGAAATATACTGTAAATACATAACAAAATATATATCACTGTTTTAAAACTAGTGAGCTCTGTCCCCCACTCGATTCAATCAATTATATCAAGACCCAAAGGTCAATTCCTTTTTATCTATCTAGGTATATTCATCATATTTGTAGGCAATATAAAATAAGTGAAAAATGTTAATATAAAAACTTATATGTAAAAGAGTTGTGTTTTTTATTAATATTTTAGTGTGTAGCTGATATATTTCATACTATACTAATGGAAATTGAAAAAGCAAACGGAAATACTGTTCAAGAAAATAATAAATGCAGTATATCATGAAAATATAAAATCCATTTCAATTACTTATTTATTTGAATTATATAATTAATAGTTACATGTGTGTTGTTAAATGTTCATATAATTTATCATTTCATTTGTAATTCGGTTTTTTTTTTTTTTAATTTTGATTTTTTCTAAGTTACCTATGTAAATATTCACTAATTATTTATTCTTAAATGTAAAAATACTGTTTTCTACCACTTAGGGACTTCATTATTATTTAACTTAATATCATCTATGTTTTGTACAATTTGTTGGTGCTTAATTTAAATTAAAATACAATGTATTTGAATGTAACTTGGTCTTTCAAACAAAATAATTATAGTAAATCAACAATTATATAATATAAAGTTAAGAAMATAAATATATTCATATTTATATACATAAAAAAGTGATATTTTTTTATGTACCTATAGATTATACAAATAATATGTAGGTAATTCAAATTATAAATTTTYAATAATGATTAATTTAAGGATTAGATAAAATTAAGAAATATGAATAGAAGTTATACAATATACTCTTCTCAACCGATAATAGATTATTAAAGTTAAAATTTATATTGTAAGTATATGTATATCATATTTATTAAATCTTAAGTATGCAAATAATATATAATTTAATTCAGGATCATTTAAAAATTAAAGTACTTCTCAAGATTCAAAGTTGATACATAGCGATAAAAGGTATCATGAAAAAATAGGTATGTGCATAAATGTCAAGCGCACCGATTATATTTTTATC